ACCATGGGTCGAGATCGACTCGAGGGCAGTTAACAACAACAACAAAAGGAATCTCTAGGTCAATTTTGCTGAAAGTTGACCATAGAGTTGTGCTGGAGAACCTAGAAGTCCCTAGAGAAGACACTTCTCTAGACATTTGCAGTCCTCCAACATGATTCGATGATCACCTCCTGGCAGATGTTGACCATAGAGTTGACTGGAGGACCTGGAGATTCCTAGAGAGGTGTTCTTTCAGTTAAAAAGAATAGTGCGCTTTTTTTTAAAAAAAAAATGCGTTTTTTTCCACATTCATGGGGGCTCCTTCACTCCTAACCCCAGCGAATGTGGCGGGACCGCTGTAGCTCTCTCCAACTAGGGGAGAGGCCTGTCAGATGCTTGGAACTACACCTCCCACAATTCCGCCGCTAACTTTTCCTAGCCGGGAGCATTACGGGAAGTGTAGTCCAATTACCTCTCTTTCTGAGGAAAATAAAACACTTCAGAGGGACAGACGAAAGCCACGCCCCACTTTGCCTTGAGAGGAGCCTAGACCAGGGGTAGGCAACCTTTCCCCTTTAAGGGCCGAGGGACTTCAGCTCCCAGAATCCCAGGAGCTATTGGCCAACATGGCTGAGGCTTCTGGGATCTGAAGTCCCTAGGCCCTTAAAGGGGAAAGGTTGCCTACCCCTGGCCTAGACGTTGGTCAGGGGGCGGAGCCAAGGCGCGCTCGCGCTCGCTCGCTCTTTCTCCCTCGCGCGCTGGCCACGAGACCCCATCCTCTGTACACACACAACCGACCTCCTGGGGCTGTGTGATGGTTTGCGCATGCGCGGGCTCCCTGGTGTCTGTTGATCCAAGAGAGGTTGGGGCCGCTCAGGTGAGTAGAAAGAGAGACCCCCCTCAAGAGGGGCGCTGAGGAGGGAGAGAGGCTTTTACCTTCCTCTCCCCTCAAGGAGAGGACTCTGAGGGGAGAAGGGAGCCTTTGGGGTGTCTCCCTTCCCCACAAAATAGCCTTTCCTTGGCCCCCCTCAAGCCTCTCAGGGCACTTCCCCAGAAAATATGTGTTTTTTAGCCCCCCCTCACCCTTCAAGAAGGGTCCTGAGGAAAGAAGCGACAGCCATGAAGGGATCCTGGGGCCCATTGCGAGGAGGAGGAGGAGGAAGAAGAAGAGGGCCGCCTGCGGGGGTTGCACAACACCACAGGCCCGGGTTGCCGTGGTTTTTGCAAGGCGAAACGCACTGCAGAAATAATAATCCACTTCGAGACCGCTGTAACTGCCTTGGCTCAGTGCTGGGAATGGTATTTTATGGTGGCGCCACAGGTCTCTCTGATAGAGAAGGTTAAATCTTGGGATTTTTAGTTTTGTGAGGCACCACCAGCATTCATTGGCAGAGCAAGGCTAAAGGCCTTGGTCCAAAACAGACTGCAGAAATAATAATCCACTTCGAGACCGCTTTGACTGCCCTGGCTCAGTGCTGGGAATGGTATTTTATGGTGGCACCAGATCCGTCTCTGACAAAGAAGGTTCAATGTCTCACAAAACTGCAGTTCCCAGAATTGCCTAGCATTCAGCTCAGAGCATTTAAAGAGGTCTCAAACCAGGTTATTTCTACAGTGTGTTTTGGACCATTGATCTCCTGCCACTAAAGCCGCATCTGCTACTGCAGAAATAATGCAGTTTTGACACCACTTCAAGTACCCTGGCTTCCATACTATGGAATCCTGGGATTTGTAGTTTGTTCTGGCACCCGAGCTCTCTCTCTGACAGGGGAGGCTACATGTCTCACAGAACTACAGTTCCCAGAATTCCCTGGCATTCAGCACAAGGCAGTTAAAACAGTCTCAAGCAGAGTTATTATTTATGCAGTGTGTTTTGGGCCTGTGTGTACATGCCTTTTCAAATCAACTTATGGTGACCCCATGAATTTCGTAGGGTTTTAATAGGCAAGGAATACTCAGAGGTGGTTTGCCATTGCCTTCCTCTGAAACATATCCTATCGCACCTGATATTCATTGCCAATCTCCCATCCAAGTATTAACCAGGCCTGATGCTGCTTAACTTCCAAGATCAGATGGGATACTGGTGCCATTTCTAGGCCTAAATTGGCCTGGAGGATTGGCAAAGGTAGATGAAACCCCCAGGATGAATCTGGCCCACTGAGCTGGGCGGATGGCTTCCATGGTAAAAGGCTCTCTTTCTCAGACCAGGCCAGCCTAAAACACTCTGGTCCGAAACACACTGCAGAAATAATCCACTTTGAGACAGCTTTGTCTGCCCTGGCTCAGTGCTAGGTAATCATGGGAACTGTAATTTGTTCTGGTGCCAGAGCTCTCTGACAGAAAAGGCTCAATGTCTCACAAAACTACAGTACCCAGAATTCCCTAGCATTGAGCCAGGGTAGTTAAAGCGGTCTCAAACTGGATTATTTCTTCAGTGTGTTTCAGAGCACAGTCTCCCCTCCCTCAGCCATGCGTGTTCACAGTCTCTCAATTGGTTCTTTGGACATGGCTTTGGACAAGGAGCATCCTAGGGCTGCGTCCACACTGCAGAAATAATCTGTGTCCACACTGCTTTAACTGACATGGCGCAAGGCTATGGGTTTCTGGGGACTGCTGTTTGTTGTGGCACCAGAGTTTTGCTACAAATCCTTTTACAAAACTGTGTGTTTACAAAGCTGAGTCTAACCCTGTTTTTTGTATATTTTCTGCATACAAATTGAACAAATAGGATGATAATATGCAGCCTTTCCTGACTGCTTTGCCAATTGGGAATCATTGGGTTTATCCATATTCTGTTTTGGTGTTGTTGTTGTGTGCCTTTAAGTTGTTTCCAACTTATGAAGACCCTAAAGCAAACTTATCATGGGGTTTTCTTGGCAAGATTGGTCCAGAAGATGGTTACTATTATTGCTTTTCTCTAAGGCTGAGAGAGTGTGACTTGCCCAAAGTCACCCAGTGGGTTTCCATGGCCAAGCCGAGATTCGAACCTTGGTCTCCCAGTGTCCTAGTCCAATGCTCAAACCACTATGCTGGCTCTCTACAAAGCTACAAGACTACAAATCCCATAATTCCATTGCACGGAGCCATGGCAGCTAAAGTGGTGTCAAACTGCATTAATGCTGCAGCACATATGCAGCGTTGGTCACTGAGCTCTGGACACATTCTGTTATATCCTTCTTCAACTGTAGTGCCTGGAATTGAACATAGGTAAAGTCTGGCCAATGTAGGAAAAATACTATAAATAAATAAATAAATAAGATGGTACTATTATTTCATGATAGAGAGCCAGCCTGGTGTAGAGGTTAGAGCACTGGACTATGACTCTGGAGACCAGGGTTCGAATCCCAGTTCAGCCATATAAACCCACAAGGTGACCTTGAGCGAGTCACACTCTCTCAGCCTCAGAGGATGGCAATAATGGCAAACCCCCCTCTGAAGAAACTTGCCAAGAAAACCCCCATTATAAGTTCACCTTAGGGTTTTGCTGAATGATTTGAAGGGGCAGAACAACAATGGAAGGCAGCCTTCCCAGTGATGTATGCTTCCCAATCTGCATCATGAAGTAATTGTTGATGTGTGCCTTCAAGGCATTTCTGATTTATGGTGACGCTAAGACAAACCTATCATAGGGTTTTCTTGACACGATTTGTTCAGAGAAGGTTTGCCATTGCCTTTCCCTGAGGCTGAGAGCATGTGACTTGTCCAAGGTCACCCAGTGGGTTTTATGGCTGAGTGGGGAATTGAACCCTGGTCTCCAGAGTCATAGTTCAACACTCAAACCACTATGCTATGCTGGCTATCATGAAATAACAGTAGTATCTTATTTTACATTGGTCAGACTTTACCTATGTTCAGTTCTAGGTACTGCAGTTGAAGAATGACATAGTAGAATGTGGCCAGAGCTCAGTGACCAAGGCTGTGTCTAATAATAATAATAATAATAATAATAATAATAATAATAATAATACATTTTATTTATATCCCGCCTCTCTCTGTCAAACAATCGAGGCGGCTTACACCATTTAAACTCAATACAATATAAAATACAGTCCCAAACCCATAAACCCTCCCACCCCTTAAAACAGAATTAAACAATGATAGAATTAAAACATAATACTTAAAAACAGTTTAAATTATATGAATAATTTATTGATATATCAATTTAAAAGAACAAACAGACACATACGTATTAAAGCAATCTAAGTTCTAATAAACACTATGATTTAAACCGGTTTGCAAATTGGGTTATATGTGCCTTGTTTACACTTGAGCCAATTTTACTGCAGAATTAATGTAGTTTGACATCGCTTTAGCTGCTGTGGCTCAATGCTGTGGAATTCTGGGCTTTGTAGTTTTTGTGAGATATTGAGCCTTATCTGTGAGAGAGCTCTGGTGCCACAACAAACTATAAATTCTAGGATTCCATAGGGTGGAGCCATGAACTTAAAGCAGTGTCAAACTGTATTCATTCTGTAGTGTGGCAGAGCCTTGGATGATATAAGCCAGACCTTGAATATTCATTTTCCATCTTCCTCGAGTCTAGTACTAGTTGTTGTTGCTGCTGCTTGCAGTCATTTTTGACTCATGGCAACTTAAGGCGAACCTATCATGTTTTTTTCTTGGCAAGATTTGTTTAGAGGTGATTTGCCCTTGCCTTCCTCCAAGGCTGAGAGCATGTGTCTTGCCCAAGGTCACCCAGTGGGTTTCATGGCCAAGCAGAGAATTGAACATAGCAGTTTTAGAAACTTTTCTGGAGTGCTATGTACAATTTTACTTACCTGGTGTTTCGGGGAATTAGAATCATATTCTTAATTTGATATTTTCTTTCTCCTTCAGGAACATACAAAAGCATTGGATTTGGAATTTTCTCCTTACAGAAGGCTGAGCAGCATACTTTCACTTCCTGCTTTAGAAGAAACTAATCTTTCCCTGCTGCTTGACATCTTTGTTTAGAGAAAACAAATACTCTCTTAAGAGCAAAAATGCAATTGATGCTTTTCTGGGACCTCTGTATTCCTTTTGGGGTGCAGCAACTTGGCCTTGATTAATTTCATAATGTTTGTCTTTTTCTGTTCTTTTTAAGGGTGAGCATATTTTCAGAACTAGGCTCTTAGTTTTAGAGCCATTATTGACCAAAGGAAATGGAGGAAAAGGAGCGATGTGAGGAATTCTATTTGACACTGTGATGTTAGATCCATGTAAAGTATATTTCAAGGGGAGACCAGGAGAAAGGCAGAAATATACTAAAGGCAAATTAAAGGAGGGAAGAGGGTGGGTGAAAGAAAAATGATCCACATCTTTAAGTTACTTTTGTGGTCAACTAATAAAGTGAACTGTTAAAGCAACAAGATTTCCACTTGGATCAGGTGGAGTTGCCTAGAAAGAAAGGGTTTATTTGCTCTTTGCTTTTCATATGTGTGGAGAAACATAAACTTTACCATCTCCCATCTTCACTTCTTACACCACGGGGATAAAAATGAGTTGTGTGCCATGGAAAGGTGACAAAACCAAATCAGAAACACCAGAAACGCCACAGTTGACACCGGTGCGTATTTATCACGAAAAGCAACGCAGGGAGCTGTGTGCTCTCCATGCCCTCAATAATGTCTTCCAGGATGGCAATGCCTTTACGCGAGATACATTGCAAGAAATTTTCCAGAGGTAGGAAAAACCTGGGTTTGTCAGCATTATATTCTCATGGGAGGAGGTGGATGGTAATGGTGCATTTGTTTTATTTTTTTCTTAGGAGGGGACCATCCTCCTTCCATATAGCTTGCATTTTTGGGGGGGTGGGTTCACCTGTCTCTCTCAGTCTCTGACCGATAAATAAAATCTATCTAGAGCTCCTTTATCCATGTACCTAATTTGTAAACATGAAAAACTAAATATGTGCATGTAACAGATGAGGAGCCAGAGGTTAGCTGAAGTTTCCTGCTGATGGAAACTGCTGCCAGTTCATAGTATTTAATACAGGTCTTGCTACCATGTGATGTGTATGGTCATTCTTTGACCTGGTAAGCTGAAAGCTTTTTCCCCCAGTCTGTGATTTGAAAGTCACTGTCTTTTACAATTTCTTCTATTCTCTTTCATACCATTCCCCTTGCAATTATATATGTTGCTTCTACAAAGCACTAAATGCATTTTTCCTTTGATACACACATCACTGTTTTATGCTCTGTATTATCCTTTACTGTCGCTGTTGTATGCATTCAAGTCATTTCAGACTTATGGTGACACTTCCAAAACTACTTCTGAATATTTCTTTCCTAAGAAACCCTATGAAATTCATGGGGTCACCATGAGTTGACAGCAGACACACACAGTGACCCTATCACACAGTTTTATTGGCAAGGCTTTGTTCAGAGGGTTTGCTGTTGCCTTCCTTTGAGGCTGAGAAAGTATGATTTGCTCGAGATCATTTGAGCCAGAACAGATTGACATAAAAAGCCAGTTTGGGGTGTGTGGCATATGCCCAACGCATGCCCCCAAGACGCTGGGAAACTGGCTTCATGCTGCCCCGCTGCCCACACATGGGCTCCCTTCCTGGTGCTCTAGTGGCATAGCGTTTAGATGCTGCACGCTGGAGGAGCATCAGGAAGCCCCAGTGGGCTGCGAAAAGCTGAGTTTTTGCCAGTGCAAAAAGGAAGGCAATTTGCTGCTGCTTTTTGTGCCAGCAAAAAGCCAGATTGGGGCTGCGGCATGCGGTTGCCTGTCTGTTCCGCCCCTTAGTGCGTTTCTGTAGCTGAGAATAGATTTGATCCCTGTTCTCCTGGAGCCCCAGTTCAGCATTCAAGCTACTATATCACATTGGCCCTCAGATCATCCTTTCGCAAACCAGAAACCATGCCCCATGAGGAGCAACTTAGGGAACTAGGTATGTTTAGTCGAGAAAAGAAAGTTAGAGGCAATATGATAGCCTTGTTTAAATATTTGAAGGGATGTCATACTGAGGCTGGAGCAAGCTTGTTTTGTGCTGCTCCAGAGACTAGGACACAGAGCAATGGATGCAAACTACAGGAAAAGAGATTCCACCTCAAGAAGGAACTTCTTGACAGTAAGGGCTGTTTGACAGTGGAACACACTCCCTTGGAGAGTGGTGGAGTCTCCTTCTTCGGAGGTCTTTAAACAGGCTGGATGGCCATCTGTCAGGGGTGCTTTGACTATGTATTCTTGCATGGCAAGATGGCCCTTCCAACTCTATGATTCTATGATAATATTGTCCCATTCAGATACCATGTGTGGTTGTTAACTGGCTTGAAATCAAGGAGGCTTCAGCTGAAAAATGAGATTGTAGTCATTTATAAGAGCCAGCATAGTGTAGTGGTTTGAGTGTTGGATTACTACTCTGGAGACCAGGATTTGAATCCTTTCTTGGTCATGGAATCCCGCTGGTTGACATTAGGCAAGTCACACTGTCAGCCGCTGAAAAAGGGAAGGGCAAACCTCTGAACAAATTTTGCCAAGAAACCCCAGTAATAGGGTCACCATAGGTTGGAAACAACTTGAAGGCTCACAACAAGAAGTCATTTACAGCCTGAAATCCTCAACATTTTTAGAGTTACAGTCCCATGCACACTTAATTGAGCAGGATTAAATCAAAATGGCAGTGGGAGGAGTTGTAAGGTAGAGAAGAAAATGTACAGGATTAGGCTGTATTTTTAAAAAATTGACTACAAATGGAGACTCATCTCAAGATGCTATAAACTGATGTTCAGTTGTTAAAACAGACTCTAACATGGCTTGCTGGCACCAGGAAGTGATATTAGTGACTACTTTATCAGATATTTTTGAGTCCCTGAAGACTTAAATATTTGTAGGCCAAAACATTAGGCTTTTAAACATTTGATCAGATTATCTTTCTTTGCAGATTCTGATGGATGCTGTTCAGTATTTGCTTTTACTGCTTTGAGTTAGTATTTTGGGGCTTTTATTTTAAAAGAAGACAAGTAATATAATCAGTGTAATAGTTCTTGTGTTGTTTATGCAGTTATTTCTTATGGGAGTTCTATTATTTTTCAAGGTTCACAGGAATCTTAATTTCAGACAGAACCTTGCAAGAAATTCTCTTACATTTTGATCTTGAACTCAGTAGAACTGAAATCAAGCTTCTATAAATGTTCAGGAACTTTTAGCTCTTGATGCTTAAAGATTCTGTGGCTTATGTATTCACACATACAATTGTAGATTTCATATGGTTGTGATTAACTAGAAAAACATTGGCTATGGCATACCAAAGAAAATGCTGTTTTGTGCTTTCTTGATCCTCCTGATATTTCCCATTGCCTATTTTCTTTGCTAATTCATCTTGAACCAAAAGCTATTGGTATGCTGTCTTCTGAAATATCTCACAGCAGAC